CCCTTCTTGCTATTCCCATATTAACCCTTACATCCCCTGTTCCTATCTAGGCCCTGTATCAATACCCTTCAACTTCTGGAGGCAACTGGTGCTTTGCACTGAGCTTGCAGAGCAAGCAGTATGTTCAGCAGCTCACTCTGGGGATTCACAGAGGGGCAGATTGGTGCCTGCAGCTAAGTGAGTGACCTAGCTGGAAGTGGGCAAGCTGCAGGCCTCCTTGCCATGGGTTATTGGTTGCTAAATGTTGATGTGCCGTCCACACCCCTGCCAGCTCTCCACAGCATCCCTTCCCCTCAGCATGCTGCCACAGAACTCCCACCCCACTGTCCCACCGCAACCTGTTGCCACCACAGCACTGAATTTTGAAGGTCCGAGGGCAGGGAACAATTTTCTCCCCCAGGGACAGCAAAATTCAGGTTTTCTTCAGCTTTCCATTGCCTTGATTCCTTGTCCCTGGGCAACCCCTTTTTCTGCCAGGATAGAAGAAGCAATGAGCTGTACAAGAAGAGAGCTGATGTCCTCTCTAGTGCAGAAGAAGCAAAGATGGACTGGAAACCGTTACTGACAGGCAATACTTCTGTGTTCTCCCACTACCTGGACAAATTTGGGGGTGTCTGGTTGTCTGCTCCTGGAAAACTAAGCTGTTCCTTAAGCAATGGAAATAATGAAGCGCATTTTCCAGTGTGTCTCCTGTGTGAGTTCAGTTACACCTAACACAGCCCCTCTCCTCATCAGGAGAGTGAGTGGAGACTTCTCTATCCCCCTTCCAGGACAGTAGAATACAATTATCACTGAGATCTCTCCTCCTCTGTCAAACTGTCTTGGAACTGGCCAACAGATTCAAAACATTCTGGGATACACACACCATTACTGCATAACTTTTGTTTTCTGAGGAAATCGGTCTGAAAATGTCTCTCTGCTCCTAAGCAAGCAGAGTGGGATCTCTCTCCCTTCACCTTCATGGTCATGTCTGGCTGTGCAATTTTTCTTTCAGTTTGTTTAATTTACTACTCTGGATTTAATTTAAATAATTACTGTTACTAAAATTGTACACATAGTGGTATTTGCCACTGTAATTGCATTAAAATGAATGTGCAGTTTTCTGTCACAAGGGTTTTGGAATAAGAGAGGGGAGAAAGAACTAGACCACTCCAAACTTTACTAGTAATAGAAGTAAACTTGGCTTTGATTCAGACAGCATCAAGCTGATGTACTTATATATTTCCAACTACATATATCATAGTTAGCCTGAAATGCATTCCTAGTACTTCTTTGGAATTTAAATCACTGCCTTACTTTTTTTTGTTATCTGTTTCAAGTATGAGCACTTAAAAAAAAACAAACAAACAAATAAACAAACAGCAACAACAACAAACAACAACAAAGGGAGAAGAGGTAATGGTGTTAATGTAGCCGGAGGAAGTAGCTATCAGTTTTCTGTGCTACTGAGTTGTAAAGGTAACAAAGGACTGACATCACATTCAGAAATATAATTTGGCATGGCAGTTTGCAACAGAGTTTTCTGCAGCACTCAGCACTTTTCTACACCAGGATTTGTTCTGGATCAGCTACTCCTGACAGTCCACTCCATGACAACACTTGCTTCAGAGCAGATTAGATTAAATTAGTATACTTAGGGCAGCATGAGAATGGTTTATGCACAGGGAGTGACCCAGAAATCACTCTTAATTTATGTTAATCCCATAACATTAATCAAATTAATGTCCCTTTGAAGACAAACATTTGTTCTTTGCTGGCACAGAAACATTTGAGGAAATTAGTTGACTTAGGACAAGAATTGAGTTAAACAAATTAATGCCCAATTAAACATAAACAGAAGTGATAGGACTTTAGCATCATTTAACAAATCCCTTTGACCCTTTCAACTCTGAAAGAGCCCACACAGTGCTCTCAGCAGTTCAAATACTACAAGGGAAATGTACACCTTTTGTTTAATTTCGATGATTTTTCTTCAGTGTCCTGTGCTGACAATTCCTCTGAAGTGGCCCAAGAAGACTAAAATCTCGCTGACTTTCAAAGATCATAAGGATTTGACACCAGACCTATAGCTCCCACCCTTGCTACATGCTATCTAGTGCTCCAGCCTTCCTCTAAGTACTGTGCCTAATACCATGGACACCACTCAGGGATGGAGCCAGTGGTCCCTTCTATTCATACAGACATTAAACCATTCTGAGCTTACATAGGACTATTCATAATAAGTCTTTGTAAGGGAAAGAATGTTGTTTTCACAGAATGAGCCTGGTAAGAATAAGGGGGTGATTCACCAGAGAAATTAACGAGAGCGATTCACAACCATTTAAGTCCCTAGCCTCTGGCTCGAAGATAAGTGGTCCTTCTGTCAACTATGATGACCCAGTACTTGGAACTGGTTTTAGGTGGATGGAGATACCGAAAGGCTTGGGGAACCTGAAATTCCAAACTTTTCATTTTAGTACGCTTGCGTGATGAGCTCGTGCATATGAACTTCTCCGTCCTGGAGAGAGCCAAGGTCCACTTCCATGAACATGCGACGTATGAACACAGACATGAAGGGGCGTGTTGGTAGGCAGTTTGGGAAGTCTGTACACCCTGCAGTACTCAGCCAGTGAGGAATCCGGGGAGGGAACTTGCGGTCGGGAGAAAGGGATATAAACCATCGCACCATGGCTGTTCGGCTCGTCCACCCGGTGGGGCGCCCGGTCTTGCAAGGACGTAATAAAAAGTGCGTGCTTCACAACATATCCTGTCTGAGCCAGAGATAATTGGCAATTGAGCATTTCTCACATCTTTTTGTCCTAGATACACGGTATGACTCATGTTATCAGCATACACTTTTTCTCAGGGAGTTTTTTCCACTGTTGAAAGGTAATTGGGTACTTTGCACAAGGAAGATATTAGTGACTTCTTGATGCATGCTTCTCCGTGATAATTGCAGAACAGACATTACTTCTACTGGCCAGCCTGTCCTAAGAAACCCTGCGCTGAAAGCCACTGCAGACACTTTCCAAATATAACAGGTTACAAAAGCAAAATCTTGACTTAGAGAGCTTCTTCCTTTGTGGTCTGGCAGGGGATTCTCCCACTCAGCTGAGTGTTTTTGTTAAAAGTGTTCTTTCCTTCAGCATGGTGTCCTTAGCTCAAAGAAAGAGAAGGTGGTCTTTGGAAAGCTAGCAGGAGTTTCTTCATGGTTTCTGGCCAATAGGACTCTCTCACCTTGCTTGCTTTTCCTTTTACAAGTCTGGGATTGCTTTGTCTCAAAAACAAGGAAGAAACAAGGCATGAGTTTATGACTTAAGTCAAGAAAAGACATAAATGAATGTGTGAATAAAGCAAACTAAAAGACTTGTGTGATGTGAAATAGCTGCACATGCAATCACTGGATCCTGATAGTTAAAAGGCCTGAACATTTGATCATTTTATCACTAAACATGATGAATTATCAGACCTCTATTGCTTGTAGGCATCTCAGTGAAAATGGGATTGCGGACATGGCTGAAGAACAGCTTCAACAGAGAAAGGATCCACAAAACTACTCTAAGATCTATAGGATACATAAGATTCCCAAGTGCAACATGTTTAACCTATCAGAGAGAAGTTAAGAGGCAAGCTCAGCCCATGCAATACAATCGAATATATATGAGATCAGGTCATATCAGTGCAGCAGATAAGAGCACTGTAGGGATCTGAGTCAGGAACAGTTATGAAAGAAAGAAAATGGGCTGAAGTAGCACCACAGAAGGGAGGTTAATTAACCATTGCTGTGGGATATAGTAAAGTCTCTCTTATGAATGCTTAAGAGAAGTTATTTTTTCTGCAAGGTACATTTGCACCCCTCAAAATGCCTGGGAAGCAAGGACTCAACAAGTATTACAGCCTTGTTATACTTTGCCTTTAAGTCTTTTTTGGTGACCAGAAAGGCACATGCTCACCAGACAAAGCTGTACCCCTGTATTGGGTTTGCATGGCAAGGTTTTGGTAGTGGGGGGGCTACAGGTGTAGCTTCTGTGAGAAGTTTCTCATATGTCCAATAGAGCCAATACCAGAAAGCTCCAAGATGGGCCCACTGCTGGCCAAGGCCAAGCCAACCAGCAATTGTTGTAGCGCCTCTGTGATAACATATTTAAGAAATGGAGAAAAAACTGCTCAGCAGCAGTTAAAGTCAGAGGAGTGAAGAATATGTGAGAGAAACAACTCTGCAGACACTAAGGTCAGTGAAAAAGGAGGGGGAGAGGGTGCTTCAGACACTGGAGCAGAGATTCCCCCGCAGCCCATGTGATACAGGGCCTAGATAGGAACAGGGGATGTAAGGGTTAATATGGGAATAGCAAGGAGGGAAATAGTCGAGATAAGAGTTTGCCTAGCTTGTACGAGGTGTTTGTGTTGCTCGACCACTATCTCCTGTTTAAGTAAAAAGCCTCCTCCACCCCTGAGTAAGTGAAGATGTTTGTGTTGATGGACCACTATCTCCTGTTTAAGTAAAAAGCCTCCTCCACCCCTGAGTAAGCGAAGATCACCCCACAACGGCACAAACCTGCTCTGCGGGTCCAGGGGGGTGACAGAGACTGCGCAGACTCAACTGGGAGGAGATCATGGAAATGCTAATTTTAATACGAAGCGGGGATAGGTGATGCATATGTATAGGCGTATTGCGAAATATTATGAATATGTAATCATTTGCTCTATAAATCTAAGGCAATGGTGCCACATGGTAGCACATATTTGGAGGAGTGATCCCCTATGTGCCCAGCGCTGAATAAACATACCTACTTTACAATCTATCAGATTGGGGAGTCTGTTTTCCGCACGTCAGTTTTGGCGAGCCAGGCAGGAGACTCTCTGCTCGACTACGGGATCGACTGCGGGGCGGACTCTCCCAGGCGCGCCCCGAGCACTTTCCTCGGAGGAGCCTCCGCTACCAGCCGCTCACCGTGGGGGGCAGACAAGGACTTCCTGAAGCCGCGGACCAAACGGTATGTTTAAGGATAGGAGCCTGTAAGTCGTACGCGTGGCTGGGGCAGCTGGTAAATCGCGCAGAGACGTCTGGCGTGCAGCTAAGCCGGGTAGGTGCACCGAAAAGGCGCGAATTCGTGCGGGTTAGGGGAGTCTAGAGGGCAATATTTTGCCGCAGACCGATAGAGCGGTCGCTGGCTCCATTCGGGTTAGGGGAGTCTAGAGGGCAATTATATTTTGCCGCAGACCGATAGAGCGGTCGCTGGCTCCAAATTGAAAGGCCTTTGTTTTGTTGTGTTTTCTTCTGTTTTGTTGTGTTCTGTTTGTCGTGCGGGTGAGGGGAGTCTGGGGGCAATTACATCTTGCCACAGAGCGATAGAGCGGTCGCTGGCTCCAATCGGGGGGGGGACCTGTTGGCCGATAGGGCGGCCACAGGCAAGAGTGATTGAAAAGGCGTTTTGTTTTGTTTTGTTTTGTAGTGTTTTATTTTGTTGTGTTCTGTTTTAACTTCAGATGAAAGTGCTGTAAGTATGTGGACGTCCGTGAGAATGGGAGATTGTGAGTGATTGCTGTGTGGTGATCGTAAGATTGTGAGTGATTGCTGTGTGGTGATCGTAAGATTGTGAGTGATTGCTGTGTGGTGATCATAAGATTGTGAGTGACTGCTGTGTGGTAATCATAAGATTGTGAGTGCTTGCTGTGTGGTGATCATAAGATTGTGAGTGACTGCTGTGTGGTGATTGTGTTAAGTGAGTGTTTTACAGAAACAAGATGGGTAATACTCAGAGAGGGGTGTTAAAAAAGAGCCCTCTCGGCTGTATACTCGCCCATTGGCGGGATATTGCAGGGAGCAGAGGCACGGAAAGCAAAAAGACTCTTGTAAAATATTGCAATCAGTGGTGGCCGCTGTATAAGCTGGAGGATGGTGCTAAATGGCCGCTTAATGGAACACTGGACTATAACACTTTGTTACAACTTATGTTGTTTTTTAAGGAGAGAAGGAAAATGGGATGAGGTATCATACGCAGATATGTTTTTCACTTTGCAAAACCACCCAGAGTGGCAAAGGGACTGTGGGTTAGTACCCCCACAGGACCCTATGGTGCTCGCACTTGAACGAGAAAGTAAGGAAAGTAGGGGTAAGCTAAAGAGGTGTTGCTCATCATGTAGTATTGGACAGAGATGTACAAAGGTGGATAAGGTGGAAAACTTCAGAAGCTGCGCCCTACGGAAAGTGGGAATCTGGAGGTATTGTTAGAGGAGGCGTGGAAAGTGTTTAGCAACAGGGAAGAAGAAGGTCGACAAGGACAGATGAAGTTGATGGCCACTATGGTTCAGAGACCGGCCAGGCAACAACCGCAGCTGGGGCGGGATCAGAGTGCTTTGTGCAAGGGTTGGAGAATGGGAAGGCTTCTATGAATGTCAAATGTAACAGAGGACTGACGGGGACCTGGGGGATCTACCCTGGTGGATCCACTGGTTAAACTTAAGCTGGCGAGAGAACAAGAAGAAGTAGAACTTTTGGTAGACACAGGGGGGACGACTATGTTATGGTAAAGGGAGTGACCGGCCAATCTGAAAAGGCGTATTTTTGTAAACCTTTAAAGTTGATTTGGTTTACTGTCTTAGATTTGAAGGACGCCTTCTTTTGCCTTCCTCTCCATAAAGCCAGCCAAAAGTTGTTTGCATTTGAATGGGAAAATCCTAAAACTGGTCGAAAGACCCAGCTCACCTGGACAGTGTTGCCACAAGGGTTCAAGAATAGCCCTACTCTTTTTGGCAACCAGCTTGCAAAGGACTTGGAATCCTGGGAAGCCCCATCCGAAAAAGGAAAATTATTGCAGTATGAGAAGCAGGGCATTGCCCTGGGAATACTGGCACAAGACCTAGGTCCATACCGACGAGCTGTCGCCTACCTCTCTAAACAACTAGATGCGACTGCAAAAGGGTGGCCTGGGTGTCTGCGAGCGGTGGCTGCCCTGATATTGAACATACAGGAAGCTCGGAAGTTCACTCTGGGCCAGAAAATGACTGCCTATGTGTCCCATACAGTATCGGCAGTCCTGGAAGCAAAGGGAGGGCATTGGCTCTCCCCACAAAGATTTCTGAGATACCAAGCTGCACTAGTAGAACAAGATGATGTACAGATAATAGTCACTAATATTGTCAACCCAGCTTCTTTCCTCAGCGGTAACGTGGGGGAACCAGTGCACCATGACTGTCTGGAAACAATTGAGACGACATACTCAAGTCGCCCTGACCTGAAGGAAAGCCCCATGAAGGATGAGGAGAACTGGTTCACGGACGGAAGCAGTTACGTCCTGAACGGTAATCGACACGCAGGGTATGCCGTTACCACCAGTCAAAAGGTAATAGAATCAGGACCTCTGCCTGCAAATACTTCTGCACAAAAGGCAGAAATAATCGCTTTAACTCGAGCCCTGGAACTGGCCAAGGGTAAGATCATTAACATATACACGGACTCCAAATACGCTTTCGGAGTTGTGCACGCACATGGAGCAATTTGGAAAGAAAGAGGACTATTGAACTCCCAAGGGAAAAACATCAAACATGCGGAGGAAATTTTTAAACTATTAGAAGCTGTTCAACTTCCTGAGAAGGTGGCGATTATGCATACTAAAGCACACCAAAAGGTGAACTCTGAATTGGAAAAAGGCAACGAGCTGGCGGATAGGGAGGCAAAACGGGCTGCCAAAATAGAGATAAAGATGGAAGGAGCACTTATTCCCGATAGGCAAATTTCCCTGGAAAGTAAACCAGAATATACCAGGGAGGATCAGAAACTTATTGCAGATCTGGAAGGGACATATAACAAGGAAGGGTGGGCTTATACCCCACAGGGGAAGTTAATTATCCCCTCTCGTTTACTATGGCATTTCACACGAGAGGAGCATAGAAAGAGACACTGGGGAGCAGAAGCTTTGTATAGTCATTTGATAAAAGAGATTGTAGCCAGAAATTTGTATACCATGGTAAGGCAGGTGACTCGACAATGCAACATCTGCCTCCGGACTAATCCCCAAAACGCCCCCAAACTAGAAATGGGTCAGATTGGGAAGGGCAACGGGCCTGGGCAACAATGGCAAGTAGATTTTACGGAATTACCAAGAAAAGGGGGGTATCGATATTTGTTGGTACTGACTGATACCTTTTCAGGCTGGCCAGAAGCATTCCCTACTAGAACAGCTAAGGCTCGGGAGGTAACTAAAGTACTGATACAAGAAATAATACCACGATTTGGGGTTCCGGCAATCATATCCTCAGATAGAGGACCACACTTTGTCTCAAAAGTAGTACAACAAATTAGCCACCATTTGGGTATAGATTGGCAGCTTCATACCCCGTACCGCCCTCAGTCAAGCGGTCAAGTGGAAAAGATGAACCACTTAATCAAACAGCAAATTGTAAAATTGGGGCAAGAAGCAAACCTGACATGGCCTCAGTCCTTGCCCTTGGCCCTTTTACGCATACGGACAAGGCCAAGGGCAAGGGAAGGGCTAAGCCCCTTTGAAATTTTATATGGACAACCATACGGGGTACAAAAAAGGAATATCCACACAAATTGGAGATGAAATCATGAGCTCCTACATGGTGGCGTTAGGGAAGCAACTCAATAAGATCAGAAAACATGTAATTGGTACTCGAGGTAGAGGGCTGGATGGACCTGTACATGATATACAACCTGGGGACTATGTGTATGTTAAGTCTCTTACAGAGAAAACCTTGGAGCCACAATGGGAAGGGCCATTCCAGGTGCTGCTCACGACGTTTACAGCCATCAAGATTAGGGAATACTCGGCCTGGATACATCACACCCGAGTAAAGAAAGCCCATAAATCCCCATGGAAAGTTACCCAAGTTCGGCCAGGAAGATTACGCTTCTCACGATAAGTCTGATAATCATTTTTTCTCTAATGCATAGTCGAAGGTTCAGTGAATGGCCATGGTCCCAGGCTTACATTGGGCATACTAATAAGACTAGAAATGTGAGCAACCACACGTTGGCTACTATAGTTATGCAGGGGACAAATGTGCCCACAAAAGAAGAATGGGATGCCTATCCAGGAGAACCACAATTGCAGGGAACATTGGGACAAGAAATTAAAATTCAGATGCAGAGCATTTAATAGCTCTACTTACTGGGCAGGAAAACAAAGGCTGTTTGGGACAAAGCCACCAATTTTGAAAGGGGATTCCAATCTTGGTGGACTATGGTGAATTTTACTTATGACCCCACTACTAACATAGCTACTGCCTTTGTGCTCACTATACATAATGCCACAGTTTATGTAATCCACCCCATCATTGCATTAGGATTGAATCATGAGGACACAGTGCTCTATCCTTCAGAACATAGAGCATGGGCCCGGAAGGTGAATGAGAAATGGCAGACTGTAAATGTGGAATCTTGTATTACCCAAGAACAACAGGGGTTCATTTGTGAAAGTAATACAATTGATGCCCAAGATGTATGCCTTGACACTGAGCAAAGTATTTGCCACTTCGAAATTCACCCAGATAATAGTAAAAAACGGTGATTGTATATACTGGTCAAGGCTGTATATGTTTAAGAACTGCTTGTGTATTCGTAGAGATAGATCATGACAATGTAACTTTGCCCATTGGGAATCATTCTAATTTCTGTATTTGTAACTTTGTTAAGATCATTGGGTGTGACTTTGTATATTGGGCACCAGTGGTTTCCCACCAGTTGGTAAAATTTAAAATCACAGGGTATCTCGAGTTATCACCTACACCTATTGGAATGAACCTTACATTAGTAAGGCAATTGATTAAACACCAAGATCTGTTGGGGATCTTGAGAGAAATTCAGAAAAACGGAGAGAAAACTTTAGTCACTGTTCACCATGATACAAAAGAAATAAACAGGGTTTTGCAAAGAGCAAAACAAGATGCAAGTCATAACTGGTGGGATACTTTTTTCGGCTGGTCGCCTTCTGCAACAGGGATTCTTAACACTATGATACACCCCATTGTGATCCTACTAGGTAGTTTAGGAATTTTATTAGTACTAACCATAATGTTATATTTATGGGTCTGGAGAATGTTTAAAAGGATAACTGCTATGCATGAGGCTTTATATTATTCGGGAAAATTGTTGAAGTAAAAGAATTTACTTAGTATGATAAGAAAAGGGGGGATTGATACAGGGCCTAGATAGGAACAGGGGATGTAAGGGTTAATATGGGAATAGCAAGGAGGGAAATAGTCGAGATAAGAGTTTGCCTAGCTTGTACGAGGTGTTTGTGTTGCTCGACCACTATCTCCTGTTTAAGTAAAAAGCCTCCTCCACCCCTGAGTAAGTGAAGATGTTTGTGTTGATGGACCACTATCTCCTGTTTAAGTAAAAAGCCTCCTCCACCCCTGAGTAAGCGAAGATTACCCCACAACGGCACAAACCTGCTCTGCGGGTCCAGGGGGGTGACAGAGACTGCGCAGACTCAACTGGGAGGAGATCATGGAAATGCTAATTTTAATACGAAGCGGGGATAGGTGATGCATATGTATAGGCGTATTGCGAAATATTATGAATATGTAATCATTTGCTCTATAAATCTAAGGCAATGGTGCCACATGGTAGCACATATTTGGAGGAGTGATCCCCTATGTGCCCAGCGCTGAATAAACATACCTACTTTACAATCTATCAGATTGTGGAGTCTGTTTTCCGCACGTCACATGGAGGTTTATGATGGAGCAGATATCTACCTGCAGACTGTGGAGGACCCCACGCCAGAGCAGGTGGATACCCAAAGGACACTGTGACCCCATGGGAAGCCCACACTGGAGCAGGGTGCTGGCAGGACCTGTGAACCTGTGGAGAGAGGACATCACTCTGGAGCAGGTTTTCTGGCAGGATTTGTGACCCCCTGGGGCACCTGCACTGGAGCAGTCTGTTTCTGAAAGACTGCACCCCATGGAAGGGGCCCATGCTGGAGCAGTTCATGAAGAGCTGCAGCCTGTGGGAGGGACTCACATGTGAGAAGTTTGTGAAGAATTGTCTCCTGTGGGAGGGATTCCATGCTGGATCAGGGGAAGAGTGTGAGGAGTCCTCCCCCTGAGAAGAAAGGAGCAGCAGAAACATTTGAGGGACTGACCACAACCCCCCATTCCTTGTCCCCCAGTGCCAATGGGGGAGAGGAGGTAGAGAATTTGGGAGTGAAATTAAGCCCATGAAGAAGGGAGAGGTGGGATGTTTTAAGATTTGGGTTTATTTCTCATTAACCTACTTTGATTTGACTGCTAACAAATTAAGTCAAATTCCCTAAGTCCAGTCTGGTTTGCCCATGATGGTAATTGGTGAGTGAAAATTTGGCAGCTCTGGAGTAGAACTAGGAAAAGTAAAAGATAAAGGCAAGCATAGGCACTTTGCTAAGAGCTTCTTATAAAACTCTCATTAATCATCTACCAAATCTACATTCAAAATCCATCCAGCAAAATGTCTACAATTTTTTTGTCTGGAGACAAAAGACAATGGTAATACAATTTCCTCTTTCCAGAAAGGAAATGGGAGGAGAGTTGACATAGATGTGTGTAAGAGAACAGTGGCTGTTGGAACATGTCACAGTGTCCTCTGCAAGCATACTATTGAGTGAATGTAAAAAAAAGGTAATTTTCCTGTTGGCTGTCAAAGAGACTAGACAGAGCAGCAGCTGTGTTGGTAAGCACAGCTCAAAAGAGGGCATAGTCTTGCATTGACTAGTGACACTCTTTGTTTTGCTTGCATTGCAGTTTCAAGGCTTGCTAATTTAAAGAGGGGGGAAAAAATTATATATATATTCTAATGGGTATACAACAGTTGTAATAGAATCCAGACTGTGCAAGGCACTTTCTACACAAGCAACACAGAATTTAGCATGACCAGCTCCCACTTCAGGATCTCCTGTAGGTATGACCCTGTCCCTCATATTTGCAGCTGTGCACCGGCATGTTTCTCCAGCAGCTTGGTCTTACATAGCTTTTCAACCTGATCAGCGCGTACACAGTGACTGTGTCTGGCTTGTAGATTTGCGGGGCCATGGGGAAACAGCTGAATTGAGTGGATGGAAATCAATGGAGGACAACACCATGAGGAGTCTGGCTATGAATCAGCCTCACAGCCAGGGATTTTGAGAAGTTTAAAGGACTAAAACTTGGGGTTTCTCTTAGGTGCTTGAGAAGATGCAACATGGAGACCTACAGACCCTTACAAGAGGTGAAATATCCCAACTAAGGGTAGCTGCAACCTACTCTTGTCTTTGGAAGGCTTATCTCTGCCTGCTTATGATACTGCATGGTGTGGAGTGAGCTGGTAGCATCTGAGGCAGCATCCTGAGGGAATCCAGTCATTCATTATAGAGATCACTTTTCACATGTAGTTGTTCTGCGAGACTTACCTGCATTTTCAAGACTATCACTTCCCTGCTCCTCTCTTGCCGCCACTGTTTCTCTGGGATCCTGGCTGTTATTTGCTTTCCCTCTTGCAATTTGTGGTTTTCACGCAAGGGTTTTCTTCTCATCAGAAAAGACTCTGCCAGTTGCATCACTGAGAATGTCTGAGGAGGGAAAGGAGAAAATAAATAGCAGAGTGCAAAGGTGCCCTCAGAAATTTGAGCTGAAGTGAGTTTCTGCTAGGTTTACAGGCAGGGGCATCAACACAAGAACAGTAATTGTTTTAGATATATATCTCCGAAGAACAGGAATCACAAAGGAGGAATTATCTGTCTCACAGAACAGATGAGCCCAGTACTCAACTGCATCAAGTCAATTGAGAGCCATGTTGCATTAAGCCTATTTTCTCTGGTTTGTCTTTCTTCCAGCATTTTGCTACTGCAAGAAAATTGCTTCTTTTCAATCAGTGGTGACTTTCCCAAGTGCAGACCTAAGGCCTCAAGGAAAGCCACTAGAACACTTTGAAAACCTAGACCTGTGTCAGGTTTATCCTACCAGCATATGCTCCAACAGTTGCCTCTGGTGAGGAGTCGAGCTGCTGGTGCTAACCCTGAGGATTCACAGTATGTTTTCAGCAATGTCCTTCCTCTTCTCTCACTAGTACAGTGTCTAGCACCAGGTTTTCAAGACCACAGGACAGTAACAGCTAAAGACCTGGATGTGCTCAAATTTCTGAGTCCAGTCCTTGCAACATTTGGGCTTGAGGGAGTACAGTCACACATGCCTATGTGACTCAGGGCATGTCCAACACTGTCTTATCTTGCAGCAGATGTTGTTCACACTGGATGTGTAAAATGCCATGCTAGTAAGGGTGCTCCTTAGTTGTCAGCACGTCACAGAAGGAACTGAAGAGTTGTGTTCAAATCCTCTGTTTGCCTGGAGACACCTGAATCTGTAGTCTGCCTTGTCCAAGGAGTGTATTTTCCCACCTTGTTTCAGAGCCATGTCATGACCTTACCTCAGCTGGCTGCTTAGCTTCACACAGTAGAGTAAGCGATGTAAGAAATAGGAGGGAGTCTCCTAGCCAGTGAGAAAGTGGACAGAAAAGGGCATACCATGCTCAGCCTCCCTCCTTCTTACTATGCCATGTTCTTCTTTCCCCAGCTATCCCTTTCCTTCTGAAGATAAGGGCTCACCTGTTTGCAGGGTGAAGCATAAGGTCATTTATGACTCCTTGGGAGCAGTGTGCCTTCCTTGCAGACTTCATGGAATCTCTCACCAAGTGGCTTCAGCACTCTGTACTAAAGTGTGCTGGATTTCACGAGTATTAATCTTAATTACCTACTTTCTACTATGCATAGGAGGCAGCTTGACTGCAGGACACCTGAAGGTGAGCCAAGTTCCCCCCATTTTCCTCCTACCACTCTGCAGAAGCTGCTATAATGGCTGTTCTTTTGCTCTGTATAAATGGCAAATTTTCAGTCTTGTGAAGTCATCAGCCCCAAGAAATTCTTGCGGTTAGAGGATTCCCCAGTCTCACCACATGTGATTCAAAATGGGATGTCTTGTGTCTGTTTTGAACACTCACGCCATATATTTTCAATGGAAAGATACATTGCAGATAATATTTATAAAATATATCTGTTGTGGTTTGAGCCCAGAGGGCAACTGAGCACCACACAGCCATTCACTCACTCATTCCCCTCTCAGGAATGGGAAGGAGAAAATAAAGCAAAATGGTTCACGAATCCAGGTACGGACAGGGAGGACATTACTATTGTGGGCAAAACACAGAATCATTAGGGAAAGAAAAAGGTTATCACTTTAATTCAAACACTAAGGCAATGTTTAACAGACAAGGTGGGACAGTGACAAGAACAGCCACACCCCAAAAACACCTTCTTCCCACCCTTCT